GGGCAGCAGTGGGAAAGGAGCTTAGTCTGTGGTGGTGGTCTTTTTTTCTTTTCCCTTTTTTTTTTTTTGTTGTTGTTTTAATATGAAACAATTTCTGACATGCTTACTTCCACTGCAGAGCACTATGGGCTCCAGTCGCGATTCAGTCTGACTCATAAAACTCTTGAGAAATGAAGAGCAGATGGGCTAAGAGCTGTCAGTCTTCATAGGAATTAAGTGCCAAGTGTTTTTTAGACAGGTCCTGCAGGACAGGACCTCTCCTTTTATAACCTGTACTTCGGTGACCCAAAAATTCCTCATAAGTCAAGCTCTCTATGCTCTGCAATGAGTTATGCAGCACCTCATCTTTAATATTATAGTTTTGAGGTATAACAGTAATACTAATGTTTTGCAGGGTCTCAGGTAATATTTCAAAATATGGGATCTTTACCTCCTCCTAAATCTTATCTTGCCTGGCAGATTTCTTACAGCTGGGCTATGTTAGTATTCTGGCTACATACTTCTAAGAACTTGATGTTATTTCTTTCTGGAAGTGTTCTTAAGTCTATTTGCAAAAAAACCCAAAACCAACCAAATGAAAACCAAACCAAAAAACACCCCACGTATTGGTCCACTGTAATGCGGTCAGGAAAATCAGACTCTGAAAATAAAGCCACTGTCTTTAGAAAACATTTTTAATGATTCAACAGTTTTTATTATCCGTGACATTTTGTGGTTTTTATTACTTTATGTTACTGATCTAGGAACCTAATATTAAAATGGTTTAGTAGAGGAGCAAGATTTTGGTTCTTGAGAATAAGAATTCTCCTAAGCTATATTAATTTCAAAATTTTCTGACAGTGTAATGTAAGAAAATGTCAGTAGTGAAGAAGTGCAACCTAAACTCCATTTTTAACTCATCCTTCCAGTTGCGTAAATTTTATTGGAAGGAGTCACACAGAAGTGCATAGCTATCAAACATGCAAAGTGCCTCTGCTGGTAGCAGTCTCTGAGAGGGCATAGCTAATTTTGAGCACAGCATTCCTGATGTCAGTATAACTGTTACAGGAAATAAGATATCAATGGCATATACCCCTGTGCTCTAATTTTAGTAATCTCTGTAATAAAATGTCAGGACAGTACTGGGGAGAGTGTACTTAACCTTCCAAAAGTGATTTTTTTTCATATGAGATTTTTTTTTTTGCAGTCAAATAAGCTTCATTTTACCTGACACGCGCTGAGATCCTAAAACCACTGCTTTACATCATGGTTTTTGGTGCACTGGTGATTATGTTAATAAGAGAAATTGCAAGCTTGATGAGACTTACATTTAAATGTATTCAGACATTGAATTCTGGTATTAGAGTCCCCATGATTCTACTTAATAAGCAAGTGGGTTTTTTTCAACTTAAAATACTTGAAACTTACCATTGTTCAGGGTTTCTTTTAACACACTATAATTCATTATCTGTGTATTAATAACTTTCTCTTTTTACAAATACTCAGGTTTCTTTTACTCCCAGTTTTGAAGACTGCTAGGGCTAGTGGGTATCTTACTACAGTTCACCACATGACTGACATGTAATTTAGTAAAAGGTATTGTGCCAGCTCTCATACCTGTATCAGTCACTTGAAAGGACCCTGTAATTAGCCGTGCACACGATGGTGGCCCTCATACCTGCAAGTAGAACCTGTTCTGAAACCTGTTGACTAAATTGAATTTTTTGTCTCCAACCAAATGGACCACAGTATGTTTTTTATTTTATTTATTTTAACTTAATTTTGTTCTCATTATCATGGGAATCTTAAGCGTATCTATGTGTGTGTGACCTGCAGCACACATACAAAACTCCCTTCTGTTTGTTGAGCTCTCTGAAAGCTTAACAATTTGTTTATACGTTGTAGATTACACACAAGTATATATCACTTTACAGTTAAAAGCATAAGGAGTTTAGCATTGTTTAATAAACCCTCAAGGGAGAATGAAGGGATTAGAAATATTTTCTGTTTCGGAATGTGTTCCTATTTTTTTCAGATGTTTTCGTGGGTCAGCTTTATATATAGACTTGGTAAACCTGAATACTTGAATACTACATAATCCAGAATATGCATAGTAGGCTGATGATCATGGTGTTTTGCTGTGTTTTGTTTTTATAAAAGACTTTTTATATAGCAAAGATGAACAAATTGGAAAGGAGTTGACTAGTGTCATATAAGTGGGCAAAGAAAAAGTTAGGAAAGTAGGGAGTGATGTTGCTGTAGAAATACATTGTTCTGCTGAAATTCTTGGCAGATATGTTGGTGCACTTTCTTCTTAACATAATATCAAATTATGATTTGTAAATACAGAATAGAAATATCTAGTCCTCCTGATAAATTGATTTTATCTTTTTTTTTTCTTGAGGTTTTGAACTACAGTTCCGATTGGGCCCAACTCTTCAAGGCAAGCCTGTTACTGTATACACAAATTATCCAGCTTCTGGAGAAATATTTGATCGCCACAAGTTCAGGACACTATCGTGGCATAATCCCACAGGAAAAGAAGATGACTCTGACAAGTACTGCAAGCTGGATCTCCAAATTTCTGGGTCATACCAGTACTATTTCAGTCTTGGGTAAGTGAAATGCTATACTTACAGCCAAATGCAGTCTGCTCTCTTCGTCTAACCTGAAAAAAATCACTGTTAGGAATAAAAAGATTTTTTCCATGCATTTTTCAGATTGCAGCCATGGGCCTATCTGAATCTGCTAATACAAGGCAGTAGCTGTGGTGATTGTTTAATAGTTTCTAATGCAAAGATATTCTGGAGAATATACAGAACAAAATTGATCAGTTTTCTGTGAATGTTGGAAAGGCAAGCCAGTTTTACCAGTTTTCAAAGTCATTAGCATTCTGAGTATCTGAATGATTAATTTGCACTTTCTTCATTGACTTCGAAAGGTGGTTTTCTATCTTTCTAGCACAGAGGTGCTGTCGTGCTTTACTTCAGATTCTTTACTTCCTCCTTTGTTTCAGCAGGGCAAGTGTAGAAGAGAATGCCAGTATCTCTAATGTTTGTAGTCTGGTATTCTGAGTTTCTGGAAGATGGGTGGTTAAATTCCTTTAGGCTTAAAAGGGCATTCAGCTCAGGTCTCTTCCCGTGATGGTGTTCCAAATGGAGGTCTTTGTATAAAAGATGGGCAGTCATGCTTCCTCTGTTCCTGTCCATGTCCTGAAAGGAAGACCAAATACTCTGTCTTACTTTTGCAGAGGCTTTAAAGCTCTGTATCCCAACTGTATTCTTCTAAGTCCAGTAGAGAGATGATGCCTAAGAAATTAACATCTCTTCAGTGTTTCCTCTTTTCTTCAGGTGCCCTGCGGTCCTGTTCCCCACCTCCCCTCAACCACTGTACTGGGCTACTGTGTTTTTGAAATAGCTGTGCTTGTTGGATTCTCTTTTGAAACTGACTGGTACAATGGATGTTCACTATACCAACAAAAATTAATTTTTCCTAGAAATGAAAAAAGTGGTGGAGGTTACATAGTTGTGGATCCTATTTTGCATGTTGGAGCCGATAATCATGTGTTACCATTGGATTGTGTTACACTCCAGACGTTCCTCGCTAAGTGTCTGGGACCATTTCATGAATGGGAAGATAGGCTTAAAGTTGCAAAAGAAACAGGTAATGCTAATACACATATTAAAGGATATATGTTTTTTGTCTTATGATCAAACCCCAAAGTTACACTGAAGCTCTTCAGTGTAAACAGTTCATGTGTTCTTTAGTTTGTAGACTAGATATTTTCTACTAGATTTAGTTAATAGATTAAGTCAGTGAGATGATTAAAATATTTGAAGAGGTCCAGAAATTCAGGGACTTCTGAATACAGGAAACCACTTTTTATTATCTTGATTTCAGATAGACTTGGAAGTTTGTAGAACTGTCAGGGTGATTTTTATAAAGCTTGTTATGTAGAATTTCAAGGAGAAGATTCAGATTACTTTACACTGGCTATTCCAAACACTAGCTTTTTAAGCATATGTTATCACTGTAACTTATTATGCTTCTTTCAGTTAACTTTGACTGAAATTTGTTTTTCTTATTAAATAAATGGCTTCTTACTACATAGGTTACAACATGATTCATTTTACACCACTGCAGAAGCTTGGACTGTCTAGATCATGTTATTCACTGGCTGATCAGTTAGAAGTAAATCCTGAATTTTCAAGCCATAATAAAAAGTGCACTTGGAGCGATATAGGAGCTCTTGTGGAAAAATTGAAAAATGAATGGAATATGCTTTGCATCACAGATGTAGTCTACAATCATACTGGTATGATTTTTGTGTGCGTTAATAACCAGACTGGTCCTATAATTATATTTCATTATTTCCCTTAACTTTCCCCCTTGAACCCAACTTTTAGTAGCTATTTTAAGTAACTCAGTTGTTTCTGTTTTTGAATCTCTCAAATCCACGACAGCTCTTTACAATTATAACTGAGATGTCTCCATAACAGATGTAAAAGAATTTAGTACTGTTGCTGAAAGAGTAAGAGTGAATAGAGCCCTTCTTAAAGAGAATTAATGAACTGTGCATGTGCCTGTATTTTTTATAATATGCTTTTTTTTATCATTCTGCAGTGTGCATCTCCCATATAAATGAATGGAATCTGCATTGTGAATTATTTGGTGAACATAAACTGAGTACTTTCTTTTTAAACAGGGGAATGTTCTTATAGCTGCTTAAAAGTAACTGCTCTAATTTGGATCTAACGTGCAGACAATAAACAGAATAGGGACAAGAGGCTAGGATTAAGCAATGGAGGAAATGTTACAGCTCAGTCTGGGGGGGGAAAGAGCTTTGTGTTTGAGATGGGGTTTTTGAAGCATAGATACGCCAATGCCTTTAAGGCTTTAGTTGTCTTAATTGCTTGAGAGACAGTGGGTTCTCTTCAGTATGATCTGATGAAATTTATAGTACTTCACAATTTGTAATTTTGCTGATTACTTGGATAATGTTTACTTTGATTATGTTTATAATACATCATCTTGCATTGTAATCCTGAAGATCACAATAATTAGCATTCTCTTAGCAGGGAGTACAACAAATGGTTATGTATGTTGATGTTACAGTCCTTTGAGGCTTGAAAAGATCCTAACACCAGATATCTGTGAATTTCAAGCTTTATTTGCTTTAGTTCTTTGGTGTTGACTGCTGCCAAACATTCCTGTCCAATCAGTCTGCAATGCAATGTGGGCCTTGTTGTTTGCCCTGTTTGTTGAAAAGTTACTAAGTATAGTTATTGGCTATGTGTCTGAGGGAATTAGGCTTTTAGACATTCTCCCAATTTTGGATAAAAAAATTTCTTGCACTTTACCAACTAGAAGTCCAGTTTCTCTCTCACATGTTTGAGATCCTGTCATCTTTTTACTCTTTATATTTGCATGCTACCAAGGAGAACGTTTTTATGGACAGAAATGCCTAAGTCCAAACTAATTGTTAGACTCCAGAAATATATTTGAGAAATGTCACGTTATTTGGCTACATTTGTAGAAGGACTTTCAGGTTACATTCAGACTTCAAAGTAATTTTCATTGGGATGGATGACTAAACACTTATACTATCGTGAAAGGCTGTTTAGAAGTGTCTTCTAACAGCATAGAAATACTCAAATGACCATAGTCCTGACTTCCATCGTTAAGCAAGGTGTACTTGATGGCTTTGTTTCCTGCTTTCAAACTGGAATTTTTTCCCCTCTCTTTGTTGTTTATAATCAAAGCCTTTTGATTTACATCTGGCTCCAAACTTGTTAAAAGTCAGATTTAGCATAAGCAGAATGGTAAATGTCTGAGTAAACAATAATGTCGTATATGCCTGTGGAGCTTTTTTGGGGACGTTTGAAATAAGAAAATAGGCAAATGGGTTTTGGGGTTCTTTTTGTCTGGATCTTGATTAGATGGAAATTTAACTTCACCTTTTTTTTAAATTTTATTTTAATTGAACAGTAATTTCTAGTCATTAAATTAATTCCTGCACATTAGGGTGATTTAATTGTAAAACATGTTTCATAGGTCCATTTGAATATAAAAGACACAAAGTGTCTAGTCATGTATTTTGAGCAGATTATGGATACTTGTACATTGTTATTAATTCTGGAGCATGTCTGCATTAAAAGCTTAAGTTGTCTCAGTAAATCTTCTAAGGCTGGTAATGCTAACAGCTCATGACCCTTCCGCTTACAGTGGTTGTATCTGTTGGTAGTTTCCGCTTTCTAGCTGCAACCACTGTATGAAAATGGCAATGCTTCCCCTCTGTTCCTGTGGTAAAGTCGGACAGCTCACTTTAAATATTAAATGGTTAAGCTAAGGTGTTTGGTTTTTACACTGGAATGGAGGACAGTCTGCTTGTATGGTACAGAATGGTGGGAATCAGTTTTTGATACTAAGGTCTCTGTTTGGATCTGATGAAAGCCAGCATCTACGGCCTGACTTTAAAAGTAAAGTAGATGTATGTGCTAATGTTAAATATAGATGCACCTTTGGTGTATTAGTAGGTGTTATAGATAAACTTGAAAACCCTGTCTGGTAACTGGGTAGATGTGCCCTTTTTAGGCTGCCATTTCCTTCAGGGTGTTCAAACACCCTCAAATAAGAAATACTGTGTTTGCTGGCATTTACTTTTCACCAGGAGATAGAATCATAAGATGATTTGGATTGGAAGGGATCTTAATGACCATCTAGTTGCCAACCCCCTGCCATGGGCAGGGACACCCTCCACTACAGAGAAAAAGGAGAATTGTTTGTTTATTTTCTTTTCTGAGCTTTCAGTGGCTGTAGTATAAAGTAATAAACTAAACTGAAATAAATGATATGATTTATCTTCTTTATCTTTCAGAAGAGGCTACTCTTGTCGAATTGCAATTTAACACTTGAGTAAATCCTATTTCCAAGCACTTGACTAATCACATCAAACACCACCTTTTCTCAGCTTTATAAGGGGGAGGAAAAAAAAAAAAAGTCTTGGGCAGTGAGCATCACTACTAAATATTAAGTTTGTGATTAATGTTATGGCAATTAATTAGTCCTTTGAAAAATATGAGGTTATTTTCTTAATACAAATGTAATGAATTTTAGAAACTATTTTCTGGAATTGCTTATCTCGATATTTCCATATTTTTATACTTACGTGTATTTTCTCCCCAGCTGTAACAAATATAATTACAAGTCATGTTTTGGGCAATTTTTTCTGCAGAATTAGATTTCTTTTGGTGTTACATTATCAATCATTGGAGCTTACCTTCTGATCAGAAAACATCATTCTGTTCTATACCAGAATTAGTGGAAGGCCTCTTGACTTTTTTTTTTTTAACATGATAAATTAGATTTAAATGATTTATTGGCTTTTTAGAATTAATTGTATTTATTCATGCAAGTCCTTTATAGTAAATTGTGGTTCTTGCTAGATTAATGGAGTAAACTAGTTTTGCTTTTTGGAGAATTTTTTTTTTTTCCCCAGAAGTAGTATATATATTAAAAAAAAAAAAAAGGTGTGGGGGGGAGGGAGAAGATCTGGTTGGCCTTTAACAGCCTGAGCTTATTATTGCTTTATGTAACTTTAAAATAACTATGGTGGCTTTAGTTGTAGGTGGCATTTAAACTATGACTATCTTATGGTCAAATTATTTGTGGAAATTATAAACACGAATTTTGCCATGTTTGTAATGATGTTGAGATGTAATGTGAGAGGTTGTTCAGAAGAGCTGTTCATATATTAGACTGAAAGAGTACACTCTTTTCTTTCCCTTGGATGTTTTTGTTTTAACTTTGAACTTAGCAACCTTGAGTTCTAGGTGTTAATTGTTCTGCTATAATTTTGGGCGTGTTAATGGCTCTTTCTTCATGTTTCCAATATAATAATTTGTTATGTATTTTCCCTTGTGTGAAGTACTACTTCTATTTTTCTATGCTTTTCTAAAATAATGGATTAATAAGCCATGTTCTATGAAAAATTATTTTAAAAAAAACTTGTAAAACTTGAGTAAAATTTTTTTTGTTCTTATACACTCCGTGCCTTTTTTTTTAATATTTAGTTTTTCAATTGCAGAGTTTCATTCAAAAGAGTATGCGAAAATTAGTTTCAGTTAAACAGTGTTTAGGGCTGTTCCAAAAATGGAAAGAGATTAACTCCTGAGGATTTTTCTTCCATACTTCCAAAATAAAAATTTTTCTTCTGTACATGTATTTACTCATACTGCTGCATGCACACTACTGTTTATATTTGAATATTGCACTCATTTTCTAGTGAAGGCTCCTTACTTTCTCTGAGTTAATTCTTAATGTTCAGCGTATGTTCTGGTGTTTGTTGAGGCTATGGGGAAAGTTTAGAAAATGGACACAGTAGAGTGCAGTGTTTGATCTGAACTGGTGTTCCATTTGCATGCACCAGGCAGTACACTCATCTTCCTGTGTAAGACTCGGTGGCATCACTTCCCACCACCCTGCTGCTTATTATGTACACAGCAGTGTCACAGCTAATCCTTTCTTAAAAGCCCATTTAACTATATTCTTCATTAATTATTTCTTGGGCAGTGTATGTGCACTCTTGCTATCTGGCTCTGTGTGTAGGATCCGCTAGGATTAAGAATATTAAAAAATAGACAACTTAGGCCATCTTAAATCTTGGTTTGGGATGTACGTTTGGCTTTCAACACACAAAGTGTATTTCATGTCCATTATTTGATACATTTCCTGCAACAAAAATGTGATTTATTTTTTTTTTAAATTTTTTATTTAGTGTTTTAGAATTGGTGGTACTATTGCATATTATTATGTAAATAACAAAAAGTTTCTCTGCAGCTGTATTTGTTGCAAAATAAATGGCTATCCGTAATGCACACCTCTGTATAAGACATGATTGTCTATTGGCATGGAAAACTTTAGTTGAAATGTGAACTAACTATACATATCATAGTACCTTAACTTCTTGTTGTTAAGACATTTGCACAAAACAACTAAATGTTCATCTTGTGTACTTACTTTTCTTTTTTTCTTCCCCGCTCCCTTTCTTGAATAAGCTACTAACAGTGAATGGCTCAGGATGCATCCAGAATGTGGCTATAACCTTGTAAATTCTCCTCACCTGAAGCCAGCTTGGGTCTTGGATAGAGCTCTGTGGCACTTGACCTGTATGGTGGCTGATGGAAAGTGTAATGCTAAAGGGGTTCCTCCCTTGATTGAAAATGATCATCACCTGAATGTAAGTGAACGAGAACTAAGTGTAAGGTAATGAACACTATAAACAGCTCAATAAACCTTTAATATTTCCAGGGTTGTGGAAATGCACAAAAAATGGTGTATGCTTTACAGATATAGTTAACGAAATAACCCTTTACTCCCCAATACTTTTTCTGAACAATTCATACAAGCAATTAGCTTTTCTTAGTTATATTAATCATCAACATTATTAACTAACATAACTTTTATTTTTACAGTGTATCCGTAAAATAATTTGGGAAGATATATATCCAAAAATTAAACTATGGGAATTTTTCCAAGTGGATGTTAACAAAGCTGTGCAGCAATTTAAAACCCTTCTATCTCAAGGTAAAGGAAGGGTATGTGCTGAAGCATGTGGATTATATATTTATAGTTCAAGAAATTTATAGGTAAACTTAACAGTAAGCTGGAAAACAAAATAATTCCATTTTTTTGCTATGTGAGAAATCTACTGTGCTGGTTTAAGCATACAAGAATGCTTTGAGGGCTAGTAAAGCCTTTGAAGACTTCACACCCCTCCAAAGCCTTTATCTACTCATATCTTGTTTGTGCTAGAATTATAAAAGTTGTATGTCTTTTAAATGTACTTCCTATTGGTACTTTATGAATACTCTTTTCTATCTTGTTCTTAGGCAAAATGAGCACTAAATCTGATCCAAATCAACATCTTCAAATAGTTCAGGACCCTGATTATAGAAGATTTGGGTGTACTGTAGATATGAATATCGCATTGGCAACATTCATACCACACAGGTATTGTAGTATTGATTACAAGTTAAAATCACAAGTGAAGTTAAATTTGCAAAATCAAATAAATGACGTTATTTTCAGAGATGGGAAAAATTTAATTTTTCATTCCTTTTAGTTATGTATACTACATGTTTTAAAAATAAATTATTCTAATTGTTCTCTGCTTTTAATGTCCTCCTGATAAGCAATGGACCAGCTGCAATAGAAGAATGTTGTAACTGGTTTCGCAAGAGGATTGAGGAACTGAATGCTGAACAATACAGACAAATTAATCACCATCAAGAGCAGGTCTTAGAATTACTATGCTTTAATGCTGAATTGTTTTCAAATGCAAATAAATGCATGCATTTCAATAATGCATAATTTAATTACTTCTAGGCTGTCAATTGTCTTGTGGGGACTGTGGTTTATGAACGACTGGCTGGCGATGGTCCTAAGCTGGGTCCTATCAGTAGAAAATATCCTTTAGTTACCAGGTATTATTTTTCGGGGTTGTGTTTCGTTTGTTTGTTTGTAAACTATTCAAGTCTCTCCAGGGAAAGTGAGTTCAAAGTTCATTAAAAGTATACATTTATATGTACAAGTGTATGTTTTCTTTCCCATGGACAAATGCCTCTTCATGAACTGACTGTCTTTTTTAAGCAACAGCGATAACTGTTTGCTAAATGTGGCCAGAGGGTATGAAACAATACTCAGAGCACATTGAAGCCTTACATAATGCAAATTGTTCTTGTAAGTGGAAGAGAGGTGGAACTAGGACAACTTAGACCTTTCAAGTTTGATGTACCTGATGCCACTCATGTATCTGAAGAGCTAGGGCTTTAATCTGACACTACCAGCTGACACCAAGATAGTGGCAACACCTGTCCTTTCTCCTTCAAAGCATGCTACAAAATAGAAAACTTCCCATCATTTATAGTCTAGCAGCTGCTTGCTTCTTGTATCTGTTTTATTTACAAGCTAATTCATAGCAGATATTTTAATTTCAAACACAATGAATTTCAGCTTATGTTACCTTGTGTGTGGTTTGGTTTTGGGTTTTGTTCTGTTTTTTTTAATTGCCTGTCTATTTGATAGGTATTTTACTTATCCATTCAAAGAGCTGACTGTGGAAGAAGAAGAAACAATGATACATCAGCCAGATAAAGCTTGTTATTTCATGGCTCATAATGGCTGGGTTATGGGAGATGATCCTCTCAGAAACTTTGCAGAACCAGGTTTGTAAAAGAACTTTGAATTATCTTACATAACTTTTGATATGCTAGACAAAGTGAAAAAAAGATTTTATTTAATCTGTCTTTTTTCCAGATGTATTCCTGTGAAGTTGCAGAATAGCAGACAGATACTCAGTTTACAGCACTTTTGTTTCCCATTCAGCTTACAGATCAAATGTAAGAACTGAGACTTCAAGTACAGTTTTTGCAAGATTTGAGAGGGAAATTACCAGCTTTCTGCCACTGAAATGGGGACATTCTGCCTCCCCGCTTCTGTCACTGTCTTTGTTGCTTACTTTGTACTTTTACCAACACTACTGTTTGTTGGCATTTCCATAAGACAATGTCAATGTGGCAGAAAGCTAATGCAATAAAAATGTGGATAGTATTTTACTATGTTAGTGAGTGAAAACGAGGTCCTTGAAAGGTCCAGTGAGTGGCATTCTGGCAGACAAGAGATGACTCAGTTAATCCAAATGAAGTATACAGATTACTTGTGAAGGTAAGATAGGGTATGAATTCACCGTGCACTGAAATACTGTATTCTAACCCCTCTGGGGACAGCATTGATATCCAATAAAAATGAAGTTGACAATTCTTGTTTTCAGAGTAGTCGTTCACTTTATAAATGGAATCAAACAAAGGCCAGTTTAATTATAATTAAAAACATCTATCTAAGAGTTTGTTAAGTCTACATTAGAAGCTAATCTGATTGATACTCCAGGGTGATCTGGAGTTATCAAACACCTCATTTCTGCAAAATAATCTACAGCCCATTCACTGCTTTTTATTTACTTTTTTTTTTCTCCCTCACAAGGATGAAGATAATATGTGTTTCAAGGGTGGTTTTGTTCAGTTGTCTTTTGGCTAATTGCCCTTTCTTCTGGGCAGACTGTTGTATTTTTTTCCTTCAGTCACTGGCTACAGTTAGCATACCTAACTTCCATTACTGAGTTTTCTCTTTTAATTCGTCTACAGCTTTTTGGGTGCTTTTTACATGTGTTTCACCTTTGTTTTATGCCACATGTTGTTTCAACTAAGAATACAATGTGAAAAGATGATACAGAGGAGCACAAATACAGGAATTGCAAAGTAAATCCAGCTACTGCTATAAATTACCCTTAAAAAATCATGTGTACATCCAGATAAAGCCAGTTTTTCTGTCTGTGTAGCTATGTTGCTGTTAGTGAAGATGAAAGGTAGGCTGTGCTAAGGTGAATGATTTTGGACACAGTGGTGACTTACAATCCGTACTCTTTACTTACTAGCTGCTTATTCTTGTTGTGTGTCTTTCATTGGAGTAGTCTGAAATCATACAACAGTGTAGGATATATAGGTTTTGAGTTGATATGATTATTGTTAGAATTTTTACTCTTCATCACAGTGTCTTCCTCTTCTTCAGCAGTAGAAAATGAAATACCACATTTTCATTTTGGTGCACATTCTACACTGTGTGTACACTATAGTGAATTTATTTCCCTTACAGGTTCAAATGTTTACTTGAGAAGAGAGCTTATTTGTTGGGGAGACAGTGTGAAACTGCGTTATGGTAATAAACCTGAAGACTGCCCATATCTCTGGGCACATATGAAAAAATACACTGAAATCACTGCCAAGTATTTCCATGGTGTTCGTCTTGACAACTGTCACTCAACACCTATTCATGTAGCTGAGGTACGCAAAATTAAGCATGTTTATTATAAAGCAACTTTTAAGTCCTGCACTGTTGCTACAAAATCTGAAGGATCTACATGACAGAGTTAAGGTGTGAATGAATCTTCCTCATACCATAAGCAAGGTTTCTTGACTGGTGATGTTTAGATATGGTTTCAGCTACTCTAAACAGAGTGGTATATCTTTTAATTTTCCACTTTAGCTGAAATATTGTGGATGCAGATGGACCTGACTGTTTCCTTGCGTAGCTATGGACTTAGTGCAATGACTGCCAGTATCCAGTATGTCAGTTTTAGCTGGGGTCACTGCCAAGACTTGGTTGAAAGTCTTAGTGTTTCTTTGCCAGATATATTTTGCTATTGCTGAATTAAACAGAAAGTAAGTGTTTTATTTCCCAGAATTTAAAAGTTGGTAAAGAACACGTGCAAAAAGTTTAGTCTGGCAGGTTTATTGCTAAGATTAGTGCTTACAGTTTGCCACAGAGCTGACTACAGCCAGAAATTGTACTTATCTAGTAAATTAGCTTTAAATAGATTTGAGTAGTGCAGCTTGTTAGTGCTTAGTCTTAGCTTGATTACAGACCTTACCTAAATATATGAAGAGCTCTCTAAAACAAGTTGATTTGCCCACACAAAAGTTGTAAGTGGCTCTTAAATGCAGCCATTTCAAAACTTCTGCCATTCTTTCATTTATTGTTACTATTTTTGGAATGGTAACTTCAAAGGCTTAAACTGAACTCCTCCTCCTATTTCTTACCTTAACAAGCATCACTTCTATGCAACCTTTGTTCTTGCATTTTGAGTTAAGATTTTGTTTAAAAACAAGGCTTAAAGTCTTCAGAGAATTTCCTAGAATTACTTGATCCATAGATAATCTCTGTAAAATATAAGCATGGTTTTATGAATCTTACCTGTTATTAATATTTTAAATGAACTGCATATATGAATGACTCATTTAAGTTTTGTTAACATTCATGTTAATGATTGTATATACACAGCTGACAATTGATGTCTTGCATTAAAAATGTATTATGATCTATAGGAGATGCTAGCAACAGCCAGATCAGTCAGACCTAATCTTTATGTGATAGCTGAACTCTTCACGGGCAGTGAGTACATTGACAATGTTTTTGTCAACCGCCTGGGAATTACCAGCCTGATTAGAGGTACAATAAGCAGTTGAAAATTATGTAGGATTGTCGTGTATGGTTTGGAGTTTTTAATGTGAAACTAACACTGGTATACTTTTTTTTATTTTTTTTACATATTCATGTTCTTTGCTTACGCAATCACCTTTTCTTGTTGTTCTATTACCTTCTCCTGTGTTATATGCTAATTCTTGATTTTTGCGTGTGTTTGTGTGTCCTCTTCTGTGTAACAACTTTTTTTGTTCCTTAATTTTGGCTTTCTGTTTGTCTTTGCTGCATGGCATTTTCCTATTGTCCAACCCCCCGCCTAGCTTTGAAACTTGTCCTTTTTTGTATCTACCTTTCCCCTTTCTGTGGCTTTTTTGGCTGTGCTTTTTGCAGTACATGCTGGACACAGCTAGAAAATTGCGAGCCGATTTGTATGTAGTGGCTGAACTGTTCACAGGAAATGAGGAGCTGGACAATATCTTTGTGAATAGGCTGGGCATTACCTCCTTAATAAGAGGTAGGCTTGCTGTGTGTGTGGTCTCTTTCCAGCGAGGGATTATGGATGACATACTTTTTCCAAGGAAAAGGTTTCTTCTGTATTATGTACTTTTAATTGCATACTCCATGCAATCAGAAGTACAGCTTTTGTATTGTGACTTTATTGATACTCAGCAAAAAATACAATACTAGCTGTGAAATAAGAGAAGACATCCTGCATTAGTTTACAGAAGGTTAAATATTTCTCTCTTATTCTAGCAAGAGCAAAAAAGTAGCACAGTTCTGCTATGCAAGTGGTGCATCAAGTCTGATTTTTGTTGCATGAGTTTCTTAAAGCCTATGAAAACCAGTTTCAGATCTCTGCTTTTTTCTCCTTTTTTTTCCTTAGCATATTATAATAAATGGAATACTCCAAGGTTGTGTATCCACGTTGGAGAATATAGTTATATGTGATTTTTTTGTTTTTAATGATTGAACACACCAAAATAACAACTATAAAATGCTGCATTAACCTCTTTGTGCATGCTGTACTCTATGGTAGTTATTTTTATGTAAACACTTACCTGTTTTGTTCTTTAGAGGCAATGACTGCTTATAATAGCCATGAAGAGGGAAGGTTAGTTTATCGTTTTGGAGGTGAACCTGTTGGCTCTTTTGTTCAGCCACGTTTGAGGCCTTTGATGCCAGCTATTGCTCATGCACTGTTTATGGATATTACGCATGATAATGAGTGTCCAATTCAGGTGAGCACCTAAACCGAAACCCAAAGTTTACATTTAATGTTTTCTGAATTGATATTTCTGAACTATTAGAAGGCTTGGTGCAATCTGGATGTTTTTTCTCAGCCATATTTGGGAAAATGTGTTTCCCAAGCGTCATGCAGAGAATAGAATTTTATAAGTCCCTCCGACAGTAAAGATTTTGACTTTCAAGGGAAAAAAGTATATAAAGCTACTTAATGAGCTACTACAAGTGGTTCTGTCTCTGCTTGTTAATCTGCTCTCTTAAGCTCCTGTTTTACAGGACAGAATGAGAGAGAATGGTGGGAATTGGAGTGCTTATTTTTGAGGGTTTCTCTTAAGTTGCTTTTGTTAGTACATTTGTAGTAATTTTTTTTCAATAATTCTATTGTGATTGAGAAAATGATCATCACGTGGTTGGCAATTCCTCTGTTAAACTAAGTATATCTTCTGTATGCTGAATTGGGAGGGGTGAATTATGTCTTTGTTGCACTATTTATTACCTATTTATTTTTTAATGTAGCACCGATCTGCATATGATGCTCTTCCTAGTGCAATGATTGTTTCCATGGCATGCTGTGCTACAGGAAGCACCAAAGGCTATGATGAACTAATACCACACCAGGTATGTGCCTACAGTTTAACTCCTAAGTTACTTTTAAAAATGTAAACTTTTATTCTTGTCCTAGGACATATATTTTAACACTGTTTATTTGAAATTCCAAGCAGTTTTACTAGCTGGCATTACTTCAAAAATTGTCCAATTTCATATGAAATTTGAATTGATTATGTAGTTGAGACCTTCAGCTGGTTTTGGGGTTTTTTTTCAGAGTAGTTAATACTTGCTTAAATCTTAATTTCTTTGCAGATCTCTGTAGTATCTGAAGAGAGGTTTTATGCAAAGTGGAATCCAGCAGCACACCTGACTTCTGGTGAAGTTAATTTCCAAACAGGAATTCTAGCAGGAAGGCTGGCCATAAACAGGCTGCATCAGGAGCTGGGGGCTAAAGGCTTTAATCAGGCAAGAAGTGAGGGTACCACTGCAATTTCTCTATATTTGTGTTCTGAGTGAGCACAGTTGCAATGGTACGTCTTTTCTAGGTGTATGTAGATCAAGTTGATGAAGATATAGTGGCAGTGACGAGGCATTGCCCTAACACACACCAGTCTGTTGTGGCTGTAAGTCGAACTGCCTTCAGGGATCCGAAAACTTCCTTCTACAGTAAAGAAGTACCTGAAATGTGTATCCCAGGTAATCAGATTTCTTTTTGGGAGATAGCAGGTGTACAAAAAAATTCAAGTTACCCTAATTCCATACTTTCTAACTTCAAACGCATGAAATCAACATGAGAATTTTCAGTATATAACACTCCTTTTATATCTGCTAACATGCATATACCAAAAGTGGTTAAAGAAACAATAACACACTTACCTTGCTTAAGGTTTTCAAAGGCATTCATATTGAGTATACTTCCTGCTATAAGCTTTCCATGAGGGTGTGGTTTTGTGAACTGGTGAGAAATAGTTAACAGCAAGATGATTAATTGTATAGAATTGGGGAGAAATTAATATTTATTAAGTCTTATACTGAGGAAAAAGGCTAAAATCTCATCATACTTGTTGATGTTATTGCTATTCAGTGTTCTTATATAATGACTATTTTTGTGGTTTTAAATTATAACTTTGTACTGCGTAAGTTTATATAAAGGTAATGTATAGGTAATACATAATATTAATTAAATATGCAAAGTGTTTACTATACTTAATAGTAGCAAAGTATAATGACTTCTACACATTACCTGGACATATTTCTGAAGAGAACCTTTCCAAACTAGCTTTTTAAGTATACTCGATTCTTTGTGTGCACATGTGTGCCTGTTTTAAAGTCAGTCACGTTATGTGTTAAGACATTTACAAGTGGCTGCAGTACTTGTATACCTTATTTTGTAGATTATTGAAAGGATAAAGAAAATAAGAATATTTGAACATTAATGATAAGTTGTTACGCTTTGAAGATAAACCATCTGTAGCTGCAGTTTGGAAACCAATCTAATACAGTCTCCTAAAAGATTATAAGGAAACTAACAGAGCTGGTGATCAGTAAAAGACAGGTTGTAATTCACTACCTGCTAACTGATTTTTATTGTTAATTTCTTCTAAAATAACAGAATTGCAGTTTTAAATAAAATACAGCCAATGAATGTGTAATGAGTGTTTATAGGATATTTAAAACACTTCCCTATAGGTTTTGTCACATTTGGTTGTTCTTTAGCTTTACAATCAAGGCTTGTATTTTGAATATTTAGGTTTTTAGTTTTGGGTTTTGCTTCATGTTTTCAAAAGAATCATTTTTCATTTAAAGTATCTTAACAGCTACTACATGATTTAACTTTTTTTAGGAAAAATAGAAGAAGTAGTACTTGAGGCTAGGACTATTGAGAGAAACGTTAGTCCTTACAAAAAAGATGAACATTTTATAAATGGATTGCCTAATTTCACAATGGAGCTCAGAGAGCATATCCAGGTAATTAGCCTCTTTCACCCATGTTCTGATCTAATATTTTGTAGTTTGTGATATTTCTTATTAGAAAAAAGACCTGAATTTCAGTTGCAAATGTGTTTTCTTTTCTAAGATTAAAGAGAGTAAAATTATAAAGCAAGCTGGAACTGCCATAAAAGGGCCAAATGAATTTGTTCAAGAAATAGAATTTGAAAAATTAACACCAGGAAGTGTGATAGTATTCAGGTACGTTTTTATAATTGCCAAATGACTGTGTTAGTTAATAGAATTATGGGATTCTTTGTTTTGAGACTTGTAGAAATGTAGCACTTACAATAACTATTCTGAAGTTATGTATTCATATTTACAGAGTTAGTCTTGACCCAAAGGCACAAGAGGCTGTTGGTGTACTCCGCAATCATTTGGTCCAGTTCAGCCCTCATTTTAAATCTGGAAGTCTTCCTGATGATCATTCAGCACCTATATTAAAAACATTATTTTCTTCGTAAGTATTCTTTAAGTTTCTGAAGTAGAACCGAGAGCTACAGTGGGAGCAGTCTGTAAACTTAAAGTGAGGAATTTATTTTTTTTTGTTACTACAGATGGATGTGGATTGTCAGTGCAATAAAAAAACTGAGATTTTTTTTTTTATATCTGTAATACTAAGCAGGGTTGATACTTAATCTTCCCTGGCTCTTTTGTTCACGTTCTGTGTAATTGCTGCCTAAAGTAGACTTATTAACATGGAGTGCTTCTCAGTGTTGGAGTATGATTATTCAGGGTTTGAACTTAATACTGCGTTTCTGAATAAATAACTGAAACATCTGAGCAGAACATCTGAAAATCAGGCTCTTGATTTCCAAGATTAAGTGATGAGGGAGTTGTATATATTTGATTATTTTAATGTAAGTCTGAAACTAGAATTGTTTGTGAAATCTTTTTTCTATTTCATAGAATCATAGAATGGTTTGGGTTGGAAGGGACCTCAAAGATTGTCTAGTTCCAGCCCTCTGCGGCGGGCAGGGACACCCTCCACTAGACCAGGTTGCCCAAAGCCTCATCCAACCTGGCCTTAAACACTTCCAGGGATGGAGCCTCCACAACCTCTCTGGGCAACCTGTTCCAGTGCCTCACCACCCCCACAATAAAGAATGTCTTTCTAACATCTAATCTAAATTGACCCTCTTTCAGCTTAAAGCCATTTCTCTAGTAATGTTGCTTTTGAGTTTGGAAATAATTTTTTTTCTCCACTGTTTTTTCAGTATTGCATCGAAGCTAACTTTGTCTGACCTAAATCAAGTACTGTATAGGTGTGAGGCAGAAGAACAAGAAGATGGTGGAGGTTGTTACAATATACCAAACTGGTCACCACTGAAGTATGCAGGCCTCCAAGGTAATAGTTGCAGCATTCTTTTCCTTTTCTGTCAGGAAAAAAAGTAAAGTAGAGCTACTCAATCTAGATCGTACCTTAATGCTGTTTTATGACTAGTGCCATTGTTTGGATAGAAAAACAGTTAAGTTTTTTCTGCTTGACCATGCTACTTTTCCATGCTGTACCCAGGAAATCACACACTTAAACAAGCACACTCTCTCTCGATACTCTGGGCTGCAAAATTAAGTTTCAATATGTGTTTTAACACCAATGCCCTTTTAAAATAAAAAGAAAATACATATACCTCCACATTAATTAAACCCTCGGCATTACTAGATTACTGAGGAGCATCAGTCATTTGTCAAATGTATGAATTCAGTCATGCTAGTTATTCCATAATGATTTTCATAGCTGTCTAGGATGTATGCTGAGGAAACTACAATTGAGTTGTATCCTAACTCATTCTGCAGATCAAGATAAGTAATACGGTTAAATCCAGTTAAAGCATCTGTTGCTGTGTACCTTTTCCTCCTGAATTGTAATTGCTGTTTGTGATAATGGTGTGTCTTTTAATACAGAGTTGGGTTTGTATCTTCAGGGTTAATGTCAGTGATGGCAGACATTAGACCAAAGAATGATTTGGGTCATCCATTTTGTGATAATTTAAGATCTGGAGACTGGATGATTGATTATGTCAGTAATCGTCTGATTTCACGTGCAGGAGCCTGTGCAGAAGTGAGTAAAAATACTTACAGTGACTTTGGGGTTTTAAATTACTAGTTTGCATCCTTTTCAATTACAGGTATGTTTTTAAATTTAGTCTGTTTATAACATTTCTTGTCTAGGCAATTTCTTCTAGGAGATCTGATAATTTTTCGATCTCTAGTCTCAAGCTTCCCACACTTGGGTTGTAGTGATGCCTTTTGAGTTGCAGCTTTCCTTTGCTACTCAGTTTTAATAACTTCTTTGTGACGATTTTTTTTTTCTTCCTACAATACTAGCAAAATATAATCTCTTTCTGTAGTTGATGTTCTTGTCTATTTATGTCATAGTACATATATAGTACAGATTTTTTTCCCTACTACTTTTCTTAGACCTCATCTATTTTAGCTGAAATTTTGAAGCAGGAGGGTACAGCAATTCTACCACAAATACCTAGCGTGGACATCTTTAGACGTTTACAGTTGCATGCTAGTGGTGTTATTAATAACTGAAGATAAGATAACCTTATCATTGTAGAGGTCAAGCATAACTTGGGTGTAATAAACATACCAAAACTGTGACAAATACTTTAACTAGACGGATCCTGAAAGCACTGATTTTTGAACCCTAGTGTTATCAAGTTCTAATTATATTGTATTTTAATAGGTTGGTAAATGGTTGAAGGCCATGTTTGTCTACCTAAAGAGAATTCCACGTTACCTCATCCCATGCTACTTTGATGCCATATTAGTGGGTGCATACACAACGCTTCTGGATGTGGGATGGCATCAGATGTCTAGGTACGCTTGGCATATCAGAGCCATAGAGGTATCTGTATATATTTGCACCTTTTAAGTTTTATCTGCTGAAGAATGTAATTTGAATATTTTCATACTTATCTAATGTAAAAGGGTAAAACTGGTAGTGAATATCAAACCCATCTTCTAATGGTGGTAGTTTGGAAGGTCAAAAGTTCAGATGTCTATCCAGGGTTTGAATTTATAACTACTGTTGGCATTGTGCAGTAGGAGGAGGAAACCTTAAGCCAGCATTTCTTTGCCAGACTTCAGAAACTTTCTTTTTGCTATAATTTTAGTACAGCTGCAATGATTCCTTAAAGTTCGGGGGAAAAAAGAAAATACCAGACTGTACTTGATGTTGGTGCTTTGTTCAACATTTCTTCTCTAACACAGCCCGTCATAATCTGAGCACTTTCCTTAGTTCTTGAAATAACTGTTTAATCCTCAGCATCGGTTTCTCCTTTGTTTTTTGGAAATGGAAGAGAGATTGATTTAATGGAGGCTTTATTCTAGCTATGAGCATTCTGAACAAATCAGTATTGTTTTGTTAAAATACAGATGTTAAAATGGGCATAGAATTTGCTATGGTTGCAAAATCATGTGGAAAGTAGTGTATTTTATGAAAAAATGCTTGAAGATGAACTAGTCAGGAATACAGGTTGTGTTGTTGTAGACAATGTGTTAACTGATTTATTTATTTACAAATTTTTGTATATATAAGTAGATATAGAAGTGTGCCAATCTTTAAAAATACTGACTAGGTTCGACAGATACTTTTGTTCATAGTAAAATATCTTTTATGATATTTTTGAGGTCTTAGGTCTGTATGTAGGCATGAAGTAAACCAAAGCAATTTTTTAACCCTCTTCCCTAGAAGTATTTGACATAAACAGTCCCATTGGCATTAATAAAATAAAATTTAAGGCTAACATTGAGCACCCATTTTGGGGAAAAAAAGTGATTTACAAATTAAAGCTTGTGTACAAAATAAGTTAATGCAAAATACTACTATTAACTCATTGTTAGTTTATTACATTTATTATACATAGTATTTATAATAGTTTTGTGTAAATGAGAAAAGGTACATTTTATAGGCTGATGTTGCTGAATGTAAAATTAATTTAATTATGTTGAATTACAGCTTTGTGCAGAATGGATCAACATTTGTTAAGCATCTTTCCTTGGGTTCAGTCCAGATGTGTGGGATAGGAAAATACTCTTGTCTGCCAGATCTGTCTCCTTCCTTACATGATGTTCCCTATAGGCTGAATGAGATTACAAATGAGAAAGAACAGTGTTGTGTTTCCTTGGCAGCTGGTAAGTGAGGACAACATTTAAAAAAAAAAAAAAAAAGTCTTCCAAAGTAGTTAAACTATTTTTAGTAACTATATTAAAATTGTCTCCATTGTGCTTGAGATCCATATGTCACCAAACATGTATAAAATGTAGGTAGCAGTTTTCCTCACTTTTCCCCTGTGTTTTAGCTTGTATTTCAGATAAAGATTTGCCCATATTAAAAATGTGAGAGTTTCGTCTAGCACTACTTGGGCACAACCATTTTGTTACTGCTCTTGGAGGGGGTGCTTATAAACACTTTATTTAGAGACATTTTTAGCTATATCCACTTTAATCATATATAGAGATCACAAGTATGTTCTCTTTCTTTCCAGAAAACCTTCTTGAGATAAATATACTTAACATAATAGGTTTTAATTTATCTTTTTTAAACATGAATTTAAGAACTGAATTGTAATGGAGCACAAGGGTGAATTTATTGTTTATAAGTTTTCAGAAAAAGAAAGAACCATTAGCAGACCAGAAGAACGCCTGATCTGAAACAGTCTCCAAAAGGAAAGAGCATAAAAGCAGTCAGCAAATAGTGTTTATACCTCCAAATGTTCTGCCAGCATCTGGCAGTCTTTGAATTGGGTACTTTCCTATGTCAGACGTATTGTCTTCTGTGTTTAGTGGCGTAGAGTGAATTTATTTTTGGTCTGCCTTGGCCCGTTCCTTTTCTGAAACCATGGAAACTTTTAACGTTGACAGATTCTATGGCATTTGTCTTACTGGGGTGTTTATTTTCTTTCTCTCATGGAATTTTATTGTTTTTAGTTTCTCGGGTTTAGTAGCATTCCATTTGCTTGCTTTAGTGTTTACCTAGAAACACAGAGGCACAACATTCCCTTGGAAAAAAAGATTAATATTGTATGGATTAATTATACTTCATATTCCCTTCACATATTAACTGGTAGTTGTGTCTGAGACTTAACTCGTACATGGATTGTCATTCTCAAGTGCTGTTGCCATATACTATAAAATTGCAGAGGTGTGGAGGCTGTATTTGAATATTAGCAAATACTTTGGAAAAGTAAGTGATAGAAGTTAAAATGTTGTTCTGTCAATCATGCATGAGACGCTACTGTTTTGAAACTTTATGGAATTTTTTGTTTATTAGATTGAAAAAGTTAAAAAAAAAAAAAAAGGAAGACAAGGATGGACCTTAGTGTTGTAATTATTATGCTTTATCGGTCAGAATCATTCTTAAAGTTACGTGTTATAATGTCTGCAGTAAGATGTAGTTCTAGAAGCTGCTGTAAAAGAGAAGCAGGATTCCTTCTATAGTGGCTGAGAACAATTTTTGGCTGAAGAAATTCATAGCTCTGCAGTCTTATCCCCTTTATGCTACTAAGATGGCACAGCTCTCATACGTGAGCTGTTGCCAACAAAGCATTATAAATCTTGTCATAGTTCTGGCTTTTTGTATGTTAGGAGTTTTCTGCTTCCTTTAATTAAAGGATGGCACTTGGTTAAGTTACAAAGTGATTTAATAAAAATTTAAATGTGAATATTATGAGAAATTCTGTTGCATGATCTTGAAACTTTAGAAAATAATTGTTCTAAAATGAGGTTTTATTTCATTTTATCAGGAGCTTGGTCTAGAAGATTAAGTATCTTAATCCAGGAAAAAAAATACAAATGTGAATGTATTTTTACTTCCGGTTATTTTATACATACATGTGTGCCTGAATTTTTCTGCAATATCAATAAATGCAATGAACAGTGGCATTTCTGTTTAGGTTTACCTCACTTCTCTTCTGGAATTTTTCGCTCTTGGGGAAGGGATACCTTTATTGCACTCAGGGGTCTCATGTTAGTTACTGGGCGCTATCTAGAAGCAAGGTAAGACCAACTTATTCGTAGTTCTTACTGGGTTTGCAGGTAGTTAGGAAAAAAGCAAGATCTCAAAACCTGAGATGACACACAAGCTGTTAGAAACAGTTGATGTGCAGTATAAAACTTTAATGGCCCTAGACAGATTTGGGAGTTCTGTCTAAGTGGAATTAAAATACTACTTAAATGATTCTATCTTGCTTTCTTAGCTCTGATATGAAGCTGATGTTCTGTATAGATCAGGTAGTTTAACCCATGTAACACTACTGCTTGTCCTTAAAGCGACTGTGTGTCACATGTACTTGCATTGCTGTTACTGAGCAATAATTTCCAAATTATTTATTTAAATATTTAAAGTAGCAAGAGAATACTATTTTAATCAGAAAGGTATGATTGCATGTATCGTGATTTTGTTTTTGTAACTGCTAGCATTTGTCTGTTAATACTAGAAATCAGCTAATCGTGGATTGTTACAATCTGATATCTGTTTCTAAATGTTTAACCTGACAAATGAGCCAGATACAAGCCAGATCTATTGATTTGATCTTTCCATTAATATTTTAATTTGGGTGGAGCTTGTCACATGATACAAACATAAAAATCAGTTGTTTTAAATTAGCATGTATTTCTGCTGTTGTACATTTGGCCAACTATGACCTTTCTCATGCAGTAAGATCTGCAGTCTACTAGCATGTTTATATTCCCTTTTAAAGCTAGTTGGAATCCATGTTTTCTGCAAGGTATGCGCGACGGTTCTCAAATTAATCTTCTCATAACCTCAGTTGCTGTCACCTCTCTGTATTTTAATAGGAAATTCCCATCTACTCCTGCCCTCCGTCCCCATTCCACCCCACCCATCAGAATGGATACCAGGGTAATCATAAACAATGTCAGTAAAAATCTTCCCTGTGACCTCAGTGGGATTTGGATTTAGGCTCTATATCACTACCTATGAAAAAGCAAACTAGCTTTTCTGTATTAGCAGATGTTGTATGTCTTGTACAAACTGATTTAAATGTATTCATGTTGGGGAATTTGTAGGGAATAGATGACTTTGTATTTTAAAGAAGTTCGTGCTAAATGAAGTAATTTGTAGCTTTCAACAGCAAACTTTTGGCATCTGTCTTTAAGATCCAGTTTGTCCCCTTGACTTACCCTGCTATTAAGATAAACTTGTACGCTTTGTACTTAATAGTTGGTCCAATAATGGCCTTGAAATTACTTAGTCAAGACTGGTTTTCTCTTTTTCTAGAAACATCATTTTAGCATTTGGTGGGACTTTAAGACATGGTCTCATTCCCAATCTGCTTGGTCAGGGGACACATGCCAGATACAACTGTCGTGATGCTATATGGTGGTGGCTTCAGTGTATCCAGGACTACTGTAAAATTGTTCCAAATGGATTAGACATTCTCAGGTGTCCTGTTTCTAGGATGTACCCAAGAGATGACTCTTCTCCTCAGCCTGCAGGCGCTTTGGTAAAGATCACTTCTGATTTAAGTATTTAACATAACTGTAAATTTTTAATGTAAGAGTGTAACTTTTCTAGCTACAAGAACCTGTTGCTGTCTGTTGTTTATGTGAAATTTGATTGTAGCACAAAAATTGCATGTTTTAGCCATGCCTCATTACATCTGCATCACATGATTAGACAGGTGTGGGTGATTGGGGATGGAGGAAAAAAAAATCCATCAGCTTTACTTTAAATCTTTTCTTTGCTTTTTGTCTTGAAAAAACATTTATATTAAAAATTGTATACAATGTATTGCTATTGACAAAGATGCTACTGAAAATGTTAGATGCTTTTCTTTTGAAGTATCTTAACCTAGAGGCTGAGAGTTGCTACTATTTGCACATTAGAGCCTTTCTACTCGTTTTTAATCTTGCCTTTCATATATCATCCAAACATTCAATCAATCTAGGATCAGCCACTTTATGAAGTAATACAGGAAGCAATGCAACGACACGTGGAAGGCATAAATTTCCGAGAAAGGAATGCTGGCCCACAGATAGATCAAAACATGAGAGATGAAGGTAACATAAGTAGAACACTTGCTATGCAATTCAGAAGATTATTATATTTGATTGATATATTTGGTATTTTTTTCCTCTAGCTGTTGAGTATATTTTTGAAAAATGTATTATGTTTAACTAAAACTACATTACTTTAAATACATTTAATGTTTAAGAGGTGCTTAATTAATTTCATGTTATCAGCAACTGTTTATATGTTGTGGTACAAGTTATCTTTAAATAAAAGTTCACTTTAAAAGTATAGTTGCCTTCAGAAACCCACCTCAGATCTCTTGTTTGGAGGTTTTTTTGTTTATTTATGAGGCTTGGGCTGGGGTCGGGCAGTTGGAGTTTTGTTTTGCTTAGAATACAGACTTCACATGTGATCTTTCTTTGCAGGTTTTAATGTAACTGCAGGTGTCGACCCAGAAACTGGCTTTGTCTTTGGAGGGAACCGTTTCAATTGTGGCACTTGGATGGATAAAATGGGAGAGAGTGACAGAGCTCGCAACAGAGGAATTCCAGCTACTCCAAGGTACAAAACCCAGGCTTTTGGGGAGGATTTGTTTAACTATTTTTTTAAACTGAAATTCTTCTGTAGAACTACTGTGCCTTCCATTAACACATCTGGGAGGTGATTTCTCAGATGTTTTAAATGTTTCTGCTTACTACAATGTTAATGGATTTTTTTTTTTTTTTCTTTGTGCTCATTTGAAGAAAAAAAAGTGTGTTTTTAGCAGGTGAAGCCCTCAAATTCTGGCATGGTTTTACCTCCATGCAAAGAGTCGACTTTTGGATTCGAGTAGTAAAACGTAATTTAGGAAAAATTGTATACATGTAGTACTAACAGTACTTTGTTATTTAGACTTATTATAGGAGATATCTATTGATAGTTGTTGTGTTGTTTGAATACTATTTACTTAGAATTCAAAAATATCTACAACATCTAAGTTTTTAAAATTGAGATTAAACATTTTAAAAATAAGCTCTTTACGATGTGCTAGCAATCTGCTGCAGGCATCCTTGCTTGAGTTTAATACAGCATCAGTTTCAAATCAATTGCTATCTGTGGGTGAGAACTGAAGGAAAACATTATTTTGCTTGACAAATCAGGGATTTTAATTGGGAACAAGGAGAGGTTGAGGTATGTGCCCTGAAGAGGCTAAATCATCAGTGATGCTAGAGAAAACTTTACATCAAGCAGGCAGTAAAACTTGATATAATATGAAATTTATGCATACGGTGATTATAGAATATCACCTGAAATAAGAAGCAAGTCCAAGAAGTGCATTTAGTGCTTATTTTAATGTCTCCCTTTTGATTTGAGTAATCTATTAGGGCAGAAATATTGCCTAATTTACCTAAAAGCACATGAAGATGAGAACATCTATATTGAGCAGTTTTAATATCAGAGGATCAAGTTGTTTGGGGCTGATCCTTTTTTCACGTTCCTCCATCACTGGTATAAAATTACCTTAAATTGGTGCGAATTAGCTGGGTATGATAATATCACTTTAAATTAGTCTATTGTACAGAAAAAAGTATCTGTTTAGGGATAAAAGTTTACAATCGAGCTTGTTCCCTGACTTAGCTGATAAAAAAACCCTCACCTGTTTTCTGCCCTTTCCTCCCTTGTTTCTTCATCAGATAGGATATTACTGATCTAAATAAAAGTAAATTGACACAGTTTGCTTATGCTAGTGTTCTTTTTTCTTATTCTTGGACCTTTCATGAAACTCGAAAGTACCCTATAAAACTGAGTGTGCCTGAAAGTGGTAAATAAGCTTCAGCTTAGAGAAGATACACATCTAGAGGGAAAATAGTTAAACCATGCCTACACAACGCTGTCAGAACTAAGCTACCACCCAGGTAGGAAATCTGAGTCATTGGTAGCTTTCTGAAATCGTATCTTAGTGTACAGCAGCAACCAAAAAAGTGAATAAAAAATAATACTGAGTGTCATCAGTAAAGGTTTTTAGAAAAGACAGAGGCCATCATTCTGCTTCCTTGTGAAACCTTGCACCTGCCAAGTGCACTTGTATCTTGAGTGTCATGTGTAGTGCTCGTCTCAAGGAGGACATAATAAAGGATGGTACAAAGATGGGCAGCTAAAACTCAAAGGGATGGAGTAGCTGCCTTGCAAGGAGAGATCGGAATGTCTAAGGACTCTTTATTTTCAAAAGAATATGGGTGAGAGACATATGACTGAAGTTTAGAAAAATTATGACATTAGTGACGATGATGGAGCTGTTAGTCACAAAACACTGCAATACTATAGAACTTTGGGGCATATAGGAGAAATGGGGGAATAGGAGGAGAATAGGGGAAAATAAAGTGTCTAAATAAGATAGAGATTTCTTTTTCAGTTACTTATTGAACTTTAGCCTTCTTAAAGTAATTCTTGGGCTTTTTTTTAATCATTATTATTCTAGAGATGGCTCTGCTGTGGAAATTGTTGGCCTGTGCAAGTCGGCTGTTCGCTGGTTGCTGGATTTATCCAGAAAAAATGTGTTTCCATTTCGTGGAGTCACTGTAAAAAGACATGGTAAAAACAGGCACATCCCATAATTGTATTACTGGAGTATAAAAATAACTAAAAGGATGAAATGGTGGCCATATAACATCAGGGATGATTGTCAAACTACTCAAGAAGGTTTAGGGGGAAAAGGGGAAAAACTTGTGAAAGTATCTTGTATGATTAAAATCTTTTCTTACTAGAAAATTTTTTTTAGAGTTGATATTGCCTTGTGAATATTTCAAATATTTTATTCCATGTATTAAGGTGTGGATGACAAAGGAGTTTTGGAGCCTAAATACCATTTCTCAAAATGGATATAAATGATAGGATTACTATGCATTATGATGATATGCATCATTCATTAAAAGAATGCTAAGTAAATTGACCCAAGACACTTCTATTTTTCTTTTCTTTTTTTTCCCCTCAATATTCACAGCACAGAAAACCACTTTTTTGAATACTTATGTAAATATCTTTAGAGATCCCTTATGTTTCAGAGGGATACTGCTGTGATTACAAAGTTACTTTACAAGCTTACCCAGCCCAAATTAATATACATGCCCGATAAAGCCTTTTTACTCTTCAGTAAAGAATAATATTGGAAAACAATTAATTTAATGGTTCTTTTATTCTGTTTTAGAAAATGTGAATGTAAGTTTTGGTGTTTTGTGGTTTTTGTCCTACCTGTCCTAGACAGTAGAAATTCTCAGGTCCTGAACTTACCTGTCACTTCAGGATTTCTTAAAATCTATGTCTAGAATAAGACAATTTAGAATTCAGAACACAGCAGTATTATAATCCATAGATGTAGAAATAATGTGTATAGGACTTCTCTCCTATACCAGAATCATAAGCAACTTTTTTAGATTCAATTTGATGTTTGCATACTCCCTTCTGTTGTTAATCTCATGTACCTATGTTTAAATTTCATTCATCTACTGCTGAATCTATTTTAAAATCGGCCTTAATTCTTATTCAAGATCTATGCCTTGTTTTTCAAGAATAGGCTTAGTCTTAGAGGTTCTAGGCTTTTTGTTCTTCTGGCAATACCACTTTCGATTTTGGCAGTATTGTCCTTTTTGCTATATTTCAGTTGTAGTTTAAAAAAAAACAGGTGATACTCCTGTACTCACCTAATATAAAACTAATGTACAATTCTTTACTATTTTTGGTTCTTTCATAAAAGCATGGCTTATTTAAGATGCATATACGTATCTCGATCAGGAAGATATCCCAAGCACAATTCTGCTGACTAAAACTTGATGTTTTTCTAGTCTCACTTGAAGTTTCAGTGAGTTGTTCCTGTGAACTGTAGAATTGGCCTAAGCATGGGGAATCACCAGCTGGAGACAGGTGATCCTAGGTCTGCTCCTGCTATGTTAAGTGTCAGGAATTCAGGAAGAGAAAGCTTTTAAAAGTGACACTTAACGCTAATGTTTTGAAACTCTTTGAAGTCTCCAAAATAGCAAGAGTATGTATATCAAGTACTATGAAAGAGTTGATGTGTTACCATGCTGAAATGTTAATTATGAATTTTAAACTTACTCAATTAAATATTTATTATAGATCACAGTACCTCATACTGTTTGCTCCTAGCTAACTGCAAGATGGAGAATGTTGTAAAAAAAAAAACAAAAAAGTTGTGGATGTGTTTGGAGTTGATCTGCAGTATAATTCAATTTCTAGAAAACATTTTGCAATGCTACTGTGGCCTTTATTGTGTTAAGAGTATCTTAAGTAAAACTTCAATAAGCAAAACAGTAAAAACAGACTTAAGCATATTTAATATTGTGGCTGTTTTCAGAAAATAAAACTTCTGTGTAACATCTTGCAGGAAAGGAGGAGACTGTCACATATGATGAGTGGAACAGAAAAATTCAAGGACACTTTGAAAGGCTGTTCTTTGTCTCTGAGAATCCAGCAGATCCTAATGAGAAACATCCAAATCTCGTTCACAAACGTGGAATCTATAAGGATAGCTATGGAGCTTCAAGTCCATGGTGTGATTACCAACTCAGGCCAAATTTTACAATAGCAATGGTTGTGGTAAGTGAGGGGGGCTAGGGGGGAAGCATTTGCACTTAAAATTTTCTTTATTATTGAACTAAGTTTTCATCGTAAGGTTCATCTGCACAGCATTATATAGAATTATAGAATTGTTTTGGTTGGAAATGACCTTTAAGATCATCAAGTCCAACCACTAAACCATGTCCCTAAGCACCACATCTATGCACATTTTAAATATCTCCAGGGATGGTGACTCAACCACTTCCCTGGGCAGCCTGAACATTGTTCTAGTTTTGGCTGGGGTAGTTAATTTTCTTCCTGGCAGCTGATATAGTGCTGTGTTTTGGATTTAGGATGAGAATAATGCTGAGAACACACTGGTGTTTTAGTTGTTGCCAAGCAGTCAAGGACTTTTCAGCTTCTCATACTGGCCTGCCAACAAGAAGGCAGGGGGTGCCCGAGAAGCTGGGAGGGGACGCAGCCAGGACAGCTGACCCAAACTGGTCAAGGGGATATTCCATACCATATGACATCGTGTTCCCTATATAACTTGGGGGTAGGCCAGGAGGCAGCTCAGAAACTACCTGAGCTTCGTCTCTGGGTGGTGAGCAATTGTGCTGTGCATCACTTGTTTTGTATGTTTTATTAGGATTATTATTATTATTATCGTCTTCCTCTTCTGTCCTATTAAACTGTCTTTATCTCAATCAACAAGTTTTACTTCTTTTTGGTTCTCTTCCCCCATCCCACTGAGGGAGCGGAAAGTGAGCAAACAGCTGTGTGGCAGTTTTAGCTGCCTGACCAGTTAAACCACAACAAACATACATTGCTTAAAATAACTTTTTGAAAGTTTTTCTTTTCCATGCTTTTAATATTAGTCCATCTTGGAGTATCTCTTAAAAACACGTCCTTGACAGGACTTAGCTAAATGAAACTGCTGTCCAGTGTATATCTAGGATAAATTTGCAGTGTTAAGTGTATTCAGAATGTCTTTTAAGGTTAGGTCTGGGAGACCACTTTCCCTATCTAATTAGCTAAAAAGCATGGGTTGTTTTGTTGTCTTTATTGGGTTTGTAAAGAGCTTCAGTAATACTACTTGACAAATGTATTTGGATAAAACAAAAAATTAAAAAAAAAAAAAAAGCACTTGATAGCTTCAGTCATCTTGCTTTACTCTACTTGTAGGTTCCAGAAGTTGATTCAGCAATACAAAACTTAGGCTTTTTGTGCTTTTCTAGATTTGTACACACAGTCTTATGTGAGTACATGTGCACAGTTTACTCATTAAATCTTTATTATTTTAATAGGCCCCTGAGTTGTTCACACCTGAGAGAGCTTGGAAAGCTCTGCAAATAGCAGAGGAAAAACTGCTTGGTCCATTAGGCATGAAAACTTTAGACCCAGAGTAAGTATAGTAGAGATAACAATAAGTGTTAATTACAAAACATGACTGTAGGAGTTATTTGACATGTGAGGGTAGTACTACTTTTGTTAAAATCCTCATATATACCTGTGAAATAAGGCTGCAATAAATACTTCTGGAACAATTATTTTGCTGTTCGGAAAGTCATGCAATTGATGTTATTTATGTAGACAATCACCAGGTGGGTTTGGATGCCACACAGTACACAAGTCAAATCTGGTATCATGAAAGATGTTGAATTTGCATCTTGATACATACTTATATATGATACAGTGCACAGCACTACAGTTTGAGTAAAAGAATCAGGGCAAAATTATGAATTCAAGTCATTCCAAGACTTTAACCATTTCCCTACTAGTTTAAACTGTATTTGGAATTCCATTGTCATGTACAATACAGAACCTGGTGGAGACCTCCCTAACTGAACCATTATTAAATGTAAATGCCATGACAAATTTTTGGTTCATTTCTGCTTTCCATTTTCATGTATCATTTTTTAAGGCTTTGTTTAATAATTTATTTCTTCTTTCTTGCAGTGATATGGTTTACTGTGGAGTATATGATAATGCTCTTGACAATGACAACTATAATGTAGCCAGAGGTTTTAATTATCACCAAGGACCAGTAAGAGCAAATTTCTTCAATTTTAGAAAAAGTGCTGTCACCTTTTCAAACTGACAGCTATAGTAATAATCTCTTTTCATTCTTTGCTTAGGAATGGCTGTGGCCAATTGGATATTTTCTTCGTGCCAAGTTGTACTTCTCAAAGTTGATTGGTCCAGAGATATATGCAAAAACTGTAGTTATGATTAAGAATGTTCTTTCTCGCCACTATGTTCACCTTGAAAGGTAAGACACCAACTAACACAGGTTCAAAATACTCATTCAAGCTAGTGGTATCCACTATCCAATTGCATGTAAAAGTACAGATCTATAATATAAACAGCATCTGTTTTCTACATATAAAGTTCACAGCTGTATGTGTTACTGCAGATCTCAAGTCAGGTTTCAAGTACAGCTGAGATCTAGTGCTTTTTATAGATTGCAGAATTACTAATACTTAACCATGTGAAGACTGGGTGAAATAGATAGATCCTAATTTTTACCTAAGGTTTATTTTCATACCAAAAAAAAATTGCAGAAAAAAATGTTGGTGAGTTGTTTTATAAAAAAATCAAAATATTTCAAAACAACCTGCAAAACAAAATAGTTAAAGGGCTAGTAGTGCCAGATTAAAATTGTCTGATAAGCTGATGCAAAATATTGCTAGGATTTCTTGTGTTATAAAAGAGGAAATTAGTACGACAGTGTTTCAGAATCTTAGAATATCAAGGTTATTAAGAAGGCAGAGGAACTTGCTTATGACCCTTAAATGTTCCTGTACTTTTTGAGTTCTCCCGCTTAAAAACCAAACCAACAAAGCCACACTATTTTTCCCCTTTTCCTGTCTGTTATATTTTCAATTCTTAAGGATTTGAGACAAACAAAAACAAAACAAAGATCTTTCCCTTGATATCTCTTCCATATAATGTGTTCTGTAGTACTTCAAATATGCATTTATTTGTATCCATAAGAGTAACTCAGTAGGACTGGCCATGACAGGATGGGTTGGTCTGACTGCATGAATAAGAAAAGATATTTGTTCAGTTTGGCAGTATTAACAAACAACTTGCAGTTTGGTAACTTTCTTTGGTTTTTCTGTCTTACTACTTAAATAGTGTACTTTTACTCTGTTTTGGTGTTTCATTTGTGCACAGAATTATTCATGTGGCAACAGGCAGAACTTCTGAGTATTTCTGTATATTAGTTTGTGGGTGGTTTTTTATTCCTATGGAGGAAAAAAAGGCTTATACAGTCATGCTATCTTCCAGCTTTTTTTTTATCTTGCCACTAGTAGCAGAGAGTCTACTTTGAAGGAGAGGCACCTCCAAAAAACCCCTACAATTCTCAGCTGCAGGGAAAAAAAAAAAAAAGAATTAGATCTCAGTTGTCAAAGAACATCCTATGGCTGTAGGACAATAGACCTTTAGTCATGGGTTTGAGTTTCCTAATGAGATAATCTTTTAAAAGGCTTTAAAATGAACTGTTCTTTTAATTTCAATGTATAATCTAACAACAATACTTGTTTGTTTTTTCTTGTATCAGATCATCCTGGAAAGGGCTTCCAGAACTGACCAATGAAAATGGACAGTATTGCCCTTTTAGCTGTGAAACTCAGGCCTGGTCGATTGGTGTTATCCTTGAAATACTTTATGACTTGTAAAAGTTTTACTTTGATTGATTTGCTGAGACTTCTGTGGTCTTATTATTGGGCATAGATGAACACTTATATACTGCAAGGGAAATGTCCTGTTCTGCACAATCACTTAAGCTGTGTCCTGACTTTCAAAGATGCTGAATGCCAGGCAGCCTCTATGCCCTGTAACTGTGTGGGGCTTGGGTTGTATTTTGAAAATCAGGCCACAAAAATAAAATAAAACTGCAGTGCACACTTGATGCAGAAGCTTTTTGTAAGGAGCAATTTTAAGAATATGCACAAACTTAATTTCAAGCAGCTTTGGTTTTTTAGACTTTTCAAATCAAAATCTTAATGTAACAAGGTGGCTCTTTCCTGAGCTAAAAATAAGTAGCACAGCTCTTATGGGTTGTTTTTTTTTTTGTCTCTTAAAGAGTAAATGGATGTTTTGCAAATGCATGCTTAAGGAGAGTAGACTAACCTATAGCTTTGTGAGTTTGGTATGCTTTGTGCTGTAGCACCATACATTAATGAAGGCAGAATATGTTGTCTCTGTTGAACTGTATGACGGGGCTTTTTTTGTATGTGTTCAGTTGAATACTCCATTAAGCAACCACAGAAATAAAGTTTACAAATACTGTAAATAAACCAACCTTTGAAATTATATATAAAATTTTCAAAAACTCTAAACTACTTTGGAGAGTTAACTCGAGCAATAATAAGGTAATACCCTATGCTAATCCATTTAAAACTTTATTTAAATACTGTGGGCCATGCAGCAAACCTATTTATTCATTTAAATCTGTTTTTCCACCGTAAGGAATTCATAAGAAACATGTCCATGTGTATATAATGCACAGCCTATATTTTAGGTGAGGCCAAAGATACAGAAGTCAATGTGCTTGACTGCTTAACTAAATGAATTTATTGGAGATATGGTCACCTCAGCCCTGTATTCTTAGGAAAATCCTAGATCTGTTGAAGCGGGTGGAAACACTTAACATGGGTGGGAAGAGATACTAGCCTACCACCAGAGAAGAGATGAGATTTCTAGGCCTTTGGAAATTACACGAGTAAGAATAAGCATGCTACCTCTATGTTTTGTTCTTTGGGAACACCATCCAGTGAAAATGATGCAAAGCATGTATATTCTTTCATATTTGGATGCCTGCATGCCCTTATTGGGTTCAGTTCAGTGTTCCCAAACTGAAGGATGGTTGACAGAATTGGTTGGTAATTCTCAACTCTCTATTCATGAGATTTTTCCATCTTACTGCAATAAACAGTCGGAGAGTGAGACTGACAATGCTTCCCACATCACGGGGGAAAGCAAAACTGATACTGCATTTCTTAATGTTAGACAACACATGCTGAAAAAAAATATACACAGGATGTAATTACAATGCACTAATAACACGTAGGTCAAGGTTTTATTATATCCGTACTTTAAAGTTTCTGTACCCTGTCTAAAGTACAGTGCAAGTGTGCTGTCTTGTTTAGGGAGATGTGTTACAGATACATACATTTAAGGGCAAGTTAGTAAGCTGAAGATAGATGAATTGTAAGAAGTGGCTATATTCACACTATTTAATTGAAAGGTTAATAAGAATTTGAACTCCCTTGCTGAAGTGTTCAGTACTTAGCAGTTATGATTAGAGAAGGTCTGTATTGTACCTCAGCTTTTGAGCTGCTGCAGTACATGGGTTAGGAAATTTTTATTTTCTCGACACAATGCAAGAGAGATGTCATTTGATCGAAAACATTACTGAAATGTCAGCTGTGGATATTTTTTTTTTTTAATGTGCAAGAGGCATATGAAGTATTTTTCATAATATACTGAAGTTTCCAAAATTCTTGATAATGATACTGAGGTTTAAGTCCTACTGTATCACTAGCTTTTTACTGTTTTCTCATTTATTATTTCAAGGTATGTTTTATAGCTCCTATGGCTTAGAAAGCAGGAATAATATGGCAGAACAAACTGTTCTTACATGATGAAAACTTTTAGAATTGGAAAATTATTCATCAAAACCTTCTTACATTATTACAGATGACTTTCTACTGTATTGCAAACTGCACTGTTTGACACTGCATGTTTGACACAGCTAGTTTTTTTCTAATCTAATAGTAAAATTTTAAAGATAAATCCCCACTGTGTACACAAAAATACATACGGAACTTCTAAACATGCCCATTTATAATGTTGCTTCTGCACCGATTAGTTGAGCATAGTTTTAGTGACAGATAAATGTTTTAAATAGGAAAAAATATGTATCATATTGGTTGACTTTGCTGTTAAGTAGCAACAAAAGTAAGATTTGAGGTTATAACTGTTGGAGGGGGAGTTGGTGGTGATTTGTTGGTTTGGGGTTTTTTTGGGGGGGGGGGCGGGGTTTATCACAAAGCTAGTCTACACTTTGTTGAGCCAGATTAAAAACGAAGAGGGAAGCAAGCAATGTTAAATCTAACTTACATGAGCTGGCATTCATCTAGATAAACTCTATACCCAAGTCATTATCCCCTAAAAATAGCTGACTTATGTTGACTGATCCTGAACTGTATTTTCATTCATTAGTATCATTTGTATTACACACTCAAAACCTTCTAATAATGCAAAGTTATAATCAGTAAAATATGTTTTAGAAATAAACTAAAGAACTTAGTAAGAACTGTGAATCCATTATGTTCCAGGTAGTGCGTCTTCATCTATATGGTATTGAGATGACTTTTTTTTTCCTTCCTCCCAATTGAAATAATATTGACTGTTACCAGTGTTCGTACAGTTAATAGCTCTTGAATTCTCAAGTTAATCGTCTTTGAATAAATCAAGTAAAATAATGTATCATTCTCGTACTGCATGTTGTAATGTAAAATGGAAAGATGAGTTTTACATGTGTCTGTCTAGCACAGCAACAACTGATTTTAGAAAATGTCATTATTCATTTATTTCTGAAATGCACAAAATAAAATTCTTTAATTCAGAGCTAACCTTTTCACGTGGTTCTTTGGAAAAAAGTCAAACATTAGAGATGCTGCTGCTTCTTCAGTTGACAACTTTACACATACTGCAGAGATCAGGAGCTGCCAACTTTGAAACTCAAGCAGCTAAATTGAGGAATAAACAGATGAAGTTTTTGTTAGCAGTGACTGGGCAGGTTTCTGCTGAAAGCTGCTTTTAAGATTGCAGATAGCAATTTGGGAAACAATTTTAGTCAGGAAATTTGAGATGTGCCCATGTTGCCGTGTTACCGTAGGTCACCCTAGAGAAGCAGCTAATCTCACCTGACAAAGGGCTCCCCCTTTCCAGGTGGCTGCTGGCTGAGCCGAGGCCCGAGCAGGCTGCCCTGCGGCCTGAAGGGGCCCCCCGGGGGCCGCTGCCCTTG